CCTCTAATTATCACCTACCGGCGTCGCCATATAACACCTAGGAACAGCAAAGTACTACCCATACAAATTAGGACCCGGAGCTCCGGAGTGAAAGTGTCCTAACTGGTAAATGTGGTACCTTGAGCTAGAACTAATCTTACTCCAGGGTTTATTTGATTTAATTAGCTCCACGTCTAATTGAACAGCTAACAAACCAGTATTTAACTAGAACAATTCTTTAGATTCGTCTCAACATCTTTTTTTTACAGTATTGAAATGATTTGCAGCTTTTATGTTTATAATTGGTTTTGTAGAGATCTAAAAATTGATCAGTTTAAATATTTTTAGAGAAAAACAATGACGAAAAAGAAGGGGTGGGGGTACTCAAATATTGGTGGAAAAAGAAGGGGAGGGGGTACTCAAATATTGGTTGAAAAAGAAGGGAGGGGGTACTCAAATATTGGTTGAAAAAGAAGGGGAGGGGGTACTCAAATATTGGTTGAAAAAGAAGGGAGGGGGTACTCAAATATTGGTTGAAAAAGAAGGGAGGGGAGGGGGTACTCAAATATTAGTTGAAAAAGAAGGGAGGGGGTACTCAAATATTGGTTGAAAAAGAAGGGGAGGGGGTACTCAAATATTGGTTGAAAAAGAAGGGAGGGGGTACTCAAATATTAGTTGAAAAAGAAGGGAGGGGGTACTCAAATATTGGTTAAAAAAGAAGAGAGGGGGTTAAAAAAGGAAATAAGGATCTAGGCTTTTAGCTTTTAGCTGTTGATTTTCAAACAACGTTTTTAATCGGTCTCCAAAAAACAACAATGTTCGCGGATTTATCTGTTTGAATGGTGTATTAAAAAAATAGTCGAAATTTTATTATTTTTGGCAGTACGAAAATCTTCTTGAATAGAAATTGAATAACAACCAAAAACTATTATTAAGAAATCCACAAATAAATTATAAATTTTGCATCATTTAAATTCATTTTTATGTTCATTTTTAGTTTGTTTCTGTTCAAGTATATATTTATTTACTGCATATTTTATAGTTTAGAATTACATAAATCCTGAAATATTTAATTTATAGCTTAATTTTCATAATTAAGGTGAATTAATTGCTCAGGGTTGGGTTGGCGCCATACTTATGTTTATTTAAGAACTTATTGTTTTTTTGCTGTTTTATTACTTTTTTACATTTTTTTACTGCACTTTCTCCCCCTCCCCCCTCCTCACTGCAGCTTTACTTTTATTCATTGTTTTTCCTCTCTTTCTCAAGTGTTCTTCTTCCTTCTCGTTTTTATTCTTTTTTTTTAAACTGATTTTCTCATTTTCTTTTCACCTTGTAATTTTTATTTCTTTAAAGGGAGTGACCGGCTATGTAAGGTAGTTGAACTGAGTATGTAGTGTTGTGGAAAACTTCTTTAGGATTCATTTGAGACATATTTCACTTTTTAAAAGTCGGTAAATCCTGAGTTTGAGCGCAAATTCGACGTTCAAAACTCCTGATTTGGGGGTGGATACACTTTCAGAATTATTTTTTTTAAATTATTATTTAACGACGACATAAAATGTAAAAATATTCTACAATAAACTACAGACGTCATGTTTAGGAACATTTTGAGAAAATAAAAATTAATCTTATCATCGAAAATAAGTAATCTTGTTCAATTATTAGTTTCCATTATCTCATTATTCTCGTTTTTCGTTATTCACAAAGATGTTCGCAGATTTTCTATAATTATTATTGAAAAGACGACATTTAAAGAACTTGAAGAAATCTGCGAATAAATTCAAAGAAAATTAGAAATTCAATATAATAATGAAAACGAAATAATCGATTTTAGCATTGATTTATTGACAAATTTCTTTTGTGAAATATGTTCCTAGCCATCTAATTAGATTACTGTATAATTTTTACTTTATTTTTCGATGTCGTTATTTAATAATTTAAAAAAAACTAATTCTGAAAGCGTATCCACCCCCAAATCAGGAGTTTTGAACGTCAAATTTGTGCTCAAACTCAGGATTTACAGATCTTTAAAAAGTGAAATATGTCTCAAATGAATTCTAAAGAAGTTTTCGACAACACTGCATACTCAGTTCAATTACCTTACATAGCCGGTCACTCCCTTTTACACTTTTATGTTTTCTTAAATATAAGTTCTTTTCTTTTATTAGTATTTTTGATCATTTTCCTTCCCTATCTATTCTCTTAGTAGTCCCTTTACCATTACTTTACTATATGTTTTAGGTTACACTCTTTTTTTTGCACAGTTTTGGTCAGATTCCGGCCCCACTACTAAAATTGTTAACGGTAGATTCCTGCACTGCAATGTGATCGTGCCTGGCTACATTTTCTGCATAAAACGTGCTGGGTCGACTCTACACTTGGTAGTTCAGACTGGACAGTTCGAGTGAATGCATGAACAGTAAATATGTTGTACCGGCTCGGATCAAGCAACTTTTAAAGTGTGATGTTACTGAGATTTGCAAAAAGATAGATTCCCCCCATTACCTGATTTGTAAACCGATAGATTCCCCCACTGCTAGAATTGTAAACGGTAGATTCTTCCACTGAGATTTGCAAAAAGATAATAATTTTGCATAAATTAATTGAAAGATTTCATCGACAAAATACAAATTAAACATTTATCTATCAATTCATCCAATCGTAAACCTTAACCAAAAAAGGTAGTAAGGCAAAATTTCATTTGTATATTCCTAAATTGGCAAGAGGGTTTGCAAAATTGGCAACTTTATTGCTTTTAAGTATTAAGGCATTTTTATAAACGATCATCTGAGGGCGTTTTGTACCTTTTTTACTCTTATAATCTTATGTTTTTAATGTTTCTTAAATCTGTAAAAAAAGTTTGTTTTGTACGTTGATAAATGATTGTACAAAATAACTCTGTGATTCATAAAACCAAAAATTAATTTTGCTAATTTGTTTAAAACTACCATTAAAATGTTCAAAAAAGTAGGAGTGAGTTAGTGAGGAAAAATCAAAGACAATGGCGTTGTGACACTTTAAAGTCGATCCCGTCTTGAACATTGGTGCAACTCACTATAGTTTCAGTAGAAGTAAATATTTCTATTTACTGATAGCGCCGCGTTTGAAGAATTCATATCTCTAATTGGATAATGAGATAGATAGAAAGATAAATGTTACCGGAATATTATTTCTATTGGTTCAGAATAGACAACAAACACATGACTGAACCCTGATTGGATCAGGCGCTAATGGACTCGGCATACGGAAATGAACTATTCATAGCAG